CTAGACCTCCTTTTTGGGTGATTCCAACTCCATTGGAAAGTTAACATCCAAGGCTACAACTTTCATGAAGACTTAAAGACCAAGATACTCACGCCCGGTGCACTAATATCCTGCCCGATGTAAAACTCAAACAGAGACCTACAAAGGTCTTTAAATTTTGATAAAAATAATATTAAAATAAATATAAAGATTGAATTTCATAAAAATATTATGATTTATATAAAAATATTAACGAAAATGATTATAATAAGATCATAAAAAGTATGAAATTCGATTAGAAATTAATTCTTTTGATTCTTCTATAAAAATATTTTCTAATTTGACTATTTTATATAAATATTAAATTATTTTATTTTATTTTATTCACAACTTATTTAAAAAAAATTAAAATATGAAATCACTTCGAAAAATATATATTTAAATTTCAATAAATAAAATTTTGAAAAAAATATTATATTAATGATTATGACTTTTTTCTCTAATTTAAAGTTATTAAAAAATAATAACAAAATAAATTAGTGTTCCATTAAAAGTGTTAAACATATTAATTTTTAAAATGTGTGCAATATATGTTATAAAGTATTATAAATAATACTTATAATTATTACCATTTTTCAAAAACAATTTTTTTTTATATTTAATTTGAAACTATGTTGTAAAATAGTGAATCAATGATCAAATGAGTTATCATTGTACGTGATGCTAAAACTTCTTTATTATTAAATTTAATTAAAACCTTATTTTAAAAAAATAAAATTTAATTAATTATATAAAAATAAAACTTAAAAAAATTAGCCTTAAATCTAAGATCTGTCAAACACAAACATGCTAGAATGCTTTTGACCATGCTGGGTACAAAGTATACATACTACATATTTACACCAAACTCCTTGCATGCAATATTTTAATTTAGTGTTTTGCCATATGCAAACAATAGAGGAGTTTTCTTGTCTCTTAGGTTCCATATTCCACTAGTGCAAAATAAAACTGTAAATATATAATATATTGCTTTGGATGTAATGTAAATGTATAAGGTGTGGATAAATTAAATTACCTAAGATTCTGGGGAACTTGTTATATGATTGGAGCCGTGAAAGATGGATAACACCTAATTCTACACGATAAGGACAGAATCGTAGTGGAGACTTTTTGCCCCTCTCTACTACACGTTGTGGTCCATTCCCAACAAGTCTTGATTCTCTTCATCTTTTTCTTTATTTGCTCTAGCCAGCTAACTTAATTGATTTTATTTTATTTTTTTGGGGAGTGTGTGGACGTGGCGTTTAAATTTGGGTTTCAGCTTACAAGAAATTCAAAACGGATTAACTGTAAAGTGCATGAGAGAGTCGAACAAGTAATGGCGTCGTTGCCAAGCATCAAGTTTGAAAGCTGACAAGTGACTAGTGTTCACCTTTTACATTGCTTTTTCATAATGAAGGCTCTTCCATTTTTCAACATCATTTTGTTGATCAAGGAGGGAAAAATGTTAGAAGTCCTTGTCCATTCGCTCTTTTTGTAGGCCCAGTTCAAGAATTTGGAAGTTCTATGCAGATTAAGCAAAAATGATAAGAGAGTAGAGGATAACAACTTGTTTTATCATAGCATTTAATTGGATTTAGTTTTAGACAAAGATGTGATGGGAATGTGAATTTCTGGGCAGACAAAATGGGATAACATAGTGTTAGAATAGTGGATTAAGCCTAACTCAATCGGCTTGTAAGGTGAGGGTTGCTTTCCACTTATATACTATTCAATTGCCTAATCTCTAGTCGATGTGGGACTTGAGTTTTTCCCAATACACCCCCTCACGTCGGTACGTGGATAAATGGTGGGTGACCCTTTTTTAATGATCTAGGATAGGCGGGACTTGGGTTTTTCCCAATACACCCGCTCATACCTATGAGGCATGCATCAATGGTGGGTGACCCATTTTTAAAGTGGATCTAAATGAATCTGATACAATGTTAGAATAGTAGATTAAGCCTAACTCAACCCTACAAAACCGGCTTGTAAGGTGAGGGTTGCTTTCCACTTATATACTATTCAATTGCCTAATCTCTAGTCGATGTGGGACTTGGGTTTTTCCCAATACATAGTAATCAAAATTCGAATGAGATTAGTTTTTATTTAATGGTCAAGAAATACTTGTTTTAGGAAAAAAAATGGAATAATAAAGTAGAGTCTCACTCAAGTCTCAATTAATTTGCATATAATCTTATTAGGGTGATTTTTGTTTTTATTATTATTATTATTATTTATTTATTTATTTTACTTACAAAGGTTGCAAATAGTATTCCAAGTAAGAAGTAAGAACGCACTTATTAGAACTTCTCCACTAAGTGTCATTGATTCTTTGGCTCTTTTTCCGACTAAGTTTTTGTCAAATGTAGAACTAGGCCAACAAAACCTGTGATGTAATAGTTGAGAGGTTCGCTATAAGCTATAATGCTGAATAAAAAAAAACTCTGCCTCACGCAAAACAATTTCATTAGAGAGCATTCACAAAACCTAATAATGATGAATTTTGCATATAGCTTCATCTAGAGACATGTTTGGATTCTTTTGGAAAAACACTTATTTCAGGTGAATTAAATTTTTTTTTTCAAAACTCTTTCAAAATGTTATATGAGAAAAATGAATTCTAAAACTTAATTAATCCAAATTCCAAACACGCACTAAAAGTATCAAAATATCTAACTTTCTACTTAAGGATTGGTAAACTTGGTTTCAGACTTTTTCTAGCTTGTGCAGTTGTGTTATCTCGACCTAGCCAGATTTTCAATAATTTGTTCTTTCGACGGATAGAAAAGAAAGAAACATAAAAATTAAAAACTGATAAATGGGTGAACACATGATTTTAGCAAGTTGCTACATCTTCTCAAACAAGACTAGTAGTTACAGAAAATTCATGGTATTATTGACTCAGATGTAAGAGTCTGACCCAGCTTTAAGGTATGGAAAGTAAGAAACCACAAATTTGATTTCATGGTTACTTGTGTCACCCATTTTTTTTTTTTTTTGTGATATCATTATTGCAACCCTTCACACGCTACCATGCTTCTAGTGTTCTCTTTCAATATTAGTATGTTTAATCACTACTTCACACAAAAGGAAGAAAGGGAGGGAAAGACCCGACATGGTTCCCCCCACGCCCGGCGTGATTCACCCAGGGATTCCCATTTCAAATTGCACCTGGCGCGACTAGCCTCGCGCCCGGCGTGATTTGGCAATGGTGGCCCCTGATGAATTCATGCACCCAGGGATTCCCATTTCAAATTGCACCTGGCGCGACTAGCCTCGCGCCCGGCGTGATTTGGCAATGGTGGCCCCTGATGAATTCATGCCTGATGCCAAGAATTGTGCCCGGCAGATTTACTACCAGAAACTCTCGAAAACCTAGAAAATTTCTTCCCAACATGAATCCAATTCAAATTACACGAGTTCAAATCATTACAAAGCATAAATACTATCCAAAAACAACATATTAAGCAATGAAATCAAGTCTTAACCACTAATTCGTGGAAATCATGAAGAAACCCCAACCAAAACCCTTTGCCCTCAATCCATCCTTAATCTTGCATAAATCATGGAATCAATGTGATATTTCAAACCCATACACACCATATTAAGTCTTATAAGTACTACTCTTACCTTAGAAACCTCAGAAACGCAAGGTTTGAACAAAACCCTCAAATCCCAACTCAAACTTTAATCCCCCTTTTCAAGGCTTTAGAGGCCAAATCTCTTGAAACTCCAGTTGTGAAGATTGATCCTAGCTTGATAAACTTCCCAAATGTGTCCTCATCTTCCCTCCGGACCAGAGCCTCTCTCTACTTCCTCTCTCTAAAAACTGTCTCTATTTGACAAATGAGACCCTCCGGTCTTAAGTCCCTATATATAGCCATTTTCTAAAATTTTCAAATTTCACCCTTAGCACCTATTCACCTCAAATATTCTATTCCTTGAAGTTTTTCAACTCCCTAAGCTCTAAAACAACCTCAAATTCACTCAGAAAGACCAGATTTATCATATGTTCCTATCCTTCAATCTCCTACCCATCCTATTCCTTTCCATGCAATACTCACAACTCACCACCATATGAAATGCAACATGTATCAACACACAAACAAACATCACTTTCAAATACATATGCTTGGAATAATGAGTTGCATGCCATAATACTTCACTTAACCAAGATGAGAAGGAAGGTGATCAGTCTT